GAAAGATATCTTCATTTTCCGGGATGGTCATGGTTGGTGTTGATTGTGGCTGCGCTGGTACAGTGCAGGTATAGACCTAGAAGCATGTCACCCCTTCGGCAGCCGTTGGCGCCGGTATAAGTTGTGATCAAGTTATTTATGAATGATTTTGAAGACAGCTAGGCCAGGGTTGAAGGGAAAAAATTAGAATGGCTGGTGAAGGGATCCCTGTCCAAACGCGTCACATTCCAAGCCCGCATCTCCGGATCAATAGAGCGCGGGGGGGCTATCTAGATAACCTTACATATGAGGCAATGCTGAAGTCATCCATGCAGCCATGGGGATCGATCATTCCATATCCTTCCTGGATGTTTTGCTGTCTGTGCGGGCTGTTGGTCTTCTGGTAAAACAGAGCTTTGTCCGTTGGTGAACCTGGTAGGTTCGGATTCAGGCTTGTATACCCGGCAGAAGCAGAGTTGATGTGTTTGCACACTAAGGTCAATGCAGCAGAGAAGAAGCCGCTATTCTCCGTAGCAAAGCGCGAGTCCATGTTCAGTTGGGTTGGCCATGCATGTCATGACCTCCGATCCAGTCCTGCGGCTCCAGTATATGTTGTACACAATAGATGCCATCTCCAAAAAGTCCCGATTCGCCAATTTATCCCATTCAATTGTAAGAAAGTAGAACCTCCAACCCGGCCCAATCAAGCATTAGTCACGGGCTCCGGTCGACTCTTGAAGAAGATCTTATAGCGCACAATCTCCACAACCTCGAGTTCCTCGCCCTCCGACGCCTGACGCTTTTGTAGCACAGCAATTGGCCGTGGCAGCTTCTTGACTTCTCCAGTCATCCGCTGGTACCGGCCGACATACATGTATGCGCGCTTCATCCATTTTGTGTCGTTTGGGTTGTGGACCGAGTAGTCTGGGAACATGAGTTTTCCGATCGGAGTTTCGAAGGTAGAGGCTGGATTATCCGTAGAGGAAGAGTAGTCTATGTCATCTTCTTCGTTCCCTGTGGGGACATTGATTGTGCCCTGGAGCTCAAGAAGGGCTAAGCCCGAGGGTGTTTGAAGGAGTGCTGGAAGGGGATTGTTTGGCGTTGTGGCGGTCGCAGCTGCTTTTGCTGGATTTGAGCAGTGTGGGTGCAGCTTTATGGAGGGCATGATGTGGTCTCTTTGATGTTCAATTGGAGTTGAAGGAGGAAAACGCGAACGCGGCACGCGTTTGGCTCCCCACACTTCTTATCGCGAGAAGTGGGCAATTACTAGACGAGTAGAAAAATACAGAATACATATGGAAATGATTATTATTTGTAGAATTGGTGGGATTAAGAATATGTACAGGGCTTTAGATACATGAATTCTCAATAGTCCACTGTGTTTATTCTGTCTCCGGGAAGGGTAGTCAACACTTGGCCCAAAGCCGGCGTCCAGGACCAAGTTAAGTGTTACATGTGTAACAATTGATGTAAATTTGCTACATGGGTTGGACATAAGCGTTGGTCGACAAGAGCTTCGGCATAATAGAAGAGTTCTTCCAACCCACGGCCGAGATTGGGGGGATCATAAGAGTGCAATAGATGTCCTTTCCAAGAGAACAAATTTCTTGTGTCGCAAAGAGCAGCTAGCTTGACCAACATAGTCCTGGAGGTAAAAAGGGCAGATGGGCGACAACACAGCAATCACGTTGAAGATTAGAACGTAGAGCTCGATGCACAAACTGCCAGACAACTCTCCAAGGCTGGAAATCAGGATTTAGACATAAAAGCGCCCGTCATATTTGGTCTTCTATCTGCATATCAATATGTCAGCTGAGGTCTTTCATTGTTAGAATCAGACCACGTACCAATAGGTCAGGGGTACTCAACACTTGCATTGCAAATAACCAATGGGAACAATGCACAATGCACAATGAGCCAGAAGCATAATTCTCAAGAAGTGCTACTCTCATAACAAACATCTTCGAGGTTCTGTAGGCCCTTGATCGCCTCACTAGCCACATCTTCTGCAATCCCAGCGGGACCCTGTAATTTGCCGTAACGGAGATCGCTCATACCACCCACAGTCGTATTGAGTTGAGCCAAAATCTTCGCAGCCTCATGATCAATCCCAGCGATTTCATGCTCAATATTAGCGCCAGCCGTCTCCATTTCAGCCAGGAGACTAGCCACCGAGTGATAATCTCCCGGTGCGGTAGGTGGCTGGCCGAACAGATGAAGATCCATGTCCATCTCGCGTTGCTCTTCAGAATTGGAGGCTTCGACTCCAGTGGCTAGGATGGCTTTTCGGAGCTCTGCTCTCTGCTTTTCACCTTGCTTGATCTCGTTGTCAATGCTTTCATTGACCCGGTCCATGTCCTGTTCTCGGACCTGCTGTAGCTCCCGATACAATGTCCTGATGTGTGGATGGGATCTCCAGCGCTTTGGGAAGAGCTCTGTGAACTTTTGTAGTGAGATGACTATTGGCAGCGGGGCTGGAGAGAGCAGGAAATTGCTTAGGATGGACTCCTCTGAGGGGGCCATGATGGATGTGTGTAGTATTCACAGTATGGTGTTTTTTCCCCCCATGTAGTTCTGTCTTTTCCCGTTTGACGCGAACCGAAGTTGACAATATTCACGTGAAGCTCAATAAGAAACAGAATGAATTGAATTGGGAAATTGAAATGAATTGATGAATAGTTATTGTAATAATAGAAGATGTATGAATAGTAAATGTGAATGGAATAAAGTGCCGCGCCTAATTCTTCTCAAGGGGCCACTCATATCTTCGCTTGATTTCCTTCTTCTCCTTTGCACTCCACATCTACTACATCGCCAGGACTACTTCACCACCTTTTCTCTCTTCTAAAATCTTGATATTTTCTATGATTCCTGAGCTGGTCTCTCGTCTGATCTAATCTTGTGGATTTCTTCTTCCACCTTGGTCAAATTTGCCGTTATCAAAAACATCTTGTACTGCCTTTGTGCATCTTCCTCTGCTGTCTTTGCTCAAGTCTGCATCTATTTGCAGTGTTACAGTCCATCGGAATCTTTGAAGGCTCCCGAGATTCTTCTGATCGTTGTGGCTGCTACCGCCTGTATCACTCCCACGGGACCTTTTCCCGTGAAGACAGGAAACATCTTCCAGACTCTACACTTTTGAGCTCGAAGGTCTCCAATTCGTTATACCGACTTGAAACACGCACATCTTCCACCTTTCTCCGACAAAAATGGCTCCTATTTCCATGTATAGTAAGGACGAGAAGGTCCTTTGCTTCCACCATGAGATTCTTTACGATGCCAAGATCCTGGATGTTCGCCACAAGGATCCCACTGACAAGAAGAGTCCCTTTGAATACCAAGTCCACTACAAGGGCTGGAAGAATACGTAAGTCTGGCTTATTTCATTTCCCTGTTTCTCTACATCCTGGCTGTGGCGTAGAGATTCAATGTTGTTGTCCCCTCCAAAGTTTGTCCGGGCCATTACGGAAAACTTGACATTCGTCTATGCACTCTCTGTTATGAACAAGGCCTCTTGTTTCCTACTGCACATGTTTTGAGCAACCAACGTGTCCAGACCCGTTCGATTTGGAGCAATTTGCTAACATTTCAACAGCTGGGATGACTGGGTCCTGGAGGACCGTCTTCGCAAGCACACGGAAGACAACCGCGAATTGGCCAACAATTTGCGTCGCGAAGCTGAAGCTTCTTTCCGTTTGAAGAACACCAAGGTCACTGCTAAGAAGCGTGCCGGTTCCGACCGTGACTCTGTGCGGGACAGCGAGGAGCGCGGCGCCTCCGTGCCCGGCCGTGGCACAAAGCGAGCCCGTGACAGTGAAATTGAAAAGGTATGCAATTACCACATCAAACTCCCAAATTTGGTGCAATTGAAGCAAAACCAAGAAAAAAAATACAAAAGAACTATAACATTCATGATTTCATACTAACAATCCACAACAGGAGGAGAGCTTCAACATCCGCCCCTCAGTCCGCATTCTCATGCCAGACAACTTGAAGTCCCTACTTGTCGACGATTGGGAGCAAGTAACCAAGAACCAGTGTGTCGTCTCTCTACCAGCGAAGTATCCAGTCCGCCAGATCCTGCAAGACTGGCACGAGGAAGAACTTCCAAAGCGGTCGGGCTCGTCAGCAGACGAGGACGTGCTTGAGGAAGTTGTCGCCGGGATCCAGGAGTACTTCGACAAGTGTTTGGATAAGATTCTTCTCTACCGCCACGAGCGCCCCCAGTACCGCGGACTGCGTAAGAAGTTCGAGGCTGCCACTGGGGACCTAGCCGATAAGGGCCCCATCGATGTCTACGGAGCGGAGCACCTGATCCGCTTGTTCAGTATGTATTTCCTGTTCACCTTCTGATTTAACTGTGAGGGTCGGGAACTGTGCTAATCGTTGCGTTTGTGTAGGTACCATGCCTGAGTTGATTGCTCAGACTAACATGGATATGCAGGCTACAAACCGTCTGCGTGAGGAGATCTCCAAGCTGTCTATGTGGCTGAGCAAGAACTCTGAGAAGTACTTCGCTACCAGCTACCTGCCGGCGGAGAGCACTCACTGAGTGCGGTAAGTTCTTTGGAGTAAGGGAAAGGGGCTTCTGTTTCTTTTTTGTTGCCTGTGTTTGTGTTGGGGTGGAGGTGGCTACCCTTCCAGCAGCAACATGTTTTTTTTTAGATTTCGATTCGAGAAGCGCGGGCCTGGAATACATAACATTTTGCTTAACTATGTCTTAATCTCTAAGAAGACGTAGAGTATTTCATGGTTCTCGTAGGATGTATTGGAAGTAGAGACCAAGGCTAATATTCCTTGGTAGTTATCATGGATGCAAGGCAATAATAACAAGTTAACACCGAGAAGGGAGAAAATATGAATTCTCATTGGATATCTTCATGGAAAACTCCATGATACCACCACTACTACCTAGTGATCTACCTCTCCATAGTACCACTCACAAATATTTTGAATTCAGACCAGAATCCAAGATCCATAGAAAAAGAACAAAGGAAAGAAAGATCCCCACAGCCGGATACCTAAGCAACCAGTTGCCTAGCATCATCAACAGCACATCGCGCCGCACGCTTCAACTCACTCTTCCATTCCGCCTCACGCCACTTGGTCCAAGCACTCAGACCCTCAGGCGGCTGGATACTCAGCGTATCATAGCCCTGCTTAATGATAAAATGGACCTCGCGCGGGGAGAGATTCTTCTTCTTGATTGACGGTAACACCACCGGCGCAGGCTCACCAGCTTTAGGACTGGCTGTCGTAACCGCAGCAGCGGCAGCATCCGTACCATCCGACTGGAAGAGGAGCGTATAGAAATGAGTAGACACGGACTGAAGGGTGTCTATAGCGGCTGAATGCAGCTCGTTCTGGGATATTGCATCGGCTGATTTGGAGGCTGATACGCCTGTTGCTGCAGCATTGGAGCGTGACAATGCGTATGCATCACGGAATTTGGAGATGATGGGGCCTGTTTCGACGAGCTTGTAGAAGAGGTCGTCGTATGAGGCTGGGTCTGGGAGGAAGGTGTCGCCGCCTGAGACGCAGAATGCGATTAGGTCTGCGAGGGAGGTTGTGAGGGTTTGGATCTTGGGGTTGCTGGTTAGATCGGAGGCGTAGGTTGTTAGGAAGCGCATGAGGGAGAGAAGAGTCCGCCAGAGCTCGGACCAGTGGTAGGTGAGGCGGATCTTGTTCTTTGAGAGGTATGTTAGTAGGCGGAGGGTGATTGCGATTGTGTGGCTAGGAAGATTGTTAGTTATGCCGTGGCTAGTGGATATAGTTGATTATTGTTACATACCTGTATATGTTGACGTCGAGGCGCCGGCGAAGGTTATGCGTAATAGTGTCGATGGCGATGTCAAAGATGACGGTTGCGAGGACCCGGTCTCCGCTGACTAGGGGGAGATAGGGCTGTTTCTGTCGACAGATGCGAACCTTTCGCTTGACATCTTCGCTGCAAATGTGCTTGCAGATGGTCGGGTCTTCAACCAGAATGCGAAGTGTAAACAGGTTTAGTTCGGCATAGTGCCCGACCCGCGGGGATCGATATGCATGTTGGAGAAGATAGGAGGACAATGAGAGGAAGCTCGAGAAAGGCGATTCTTCATTATTGCTTCCCGGTTCCAGATGAACCAAATGATAACCAAAGAGCTTATTGGCATTTGTGAAGTCGTACGTGGCCATTAGAATTGCGGCTTCTTGTGCTGGGCTGCCAGGATTGTAAGTTTCGAACCAATGAATTATCGGCGCAGAGAACTTACAGATCAGCGAACAGGGCCTTCGCCTCTTCTGCCGAAGGAGGGTTCACTTTGTCTCTGGCGCCAGGAGCGAGCACTCGTAGTCCAAAGAAAATCAATGTGTTGGTCAAGCTCCAGCCTTCTGGGATATCATCCTGGACAGCAATGTAGCCGTTTCGCAGGCGATTACAGGCCAGACCGACACCCTTAGCAACCTTTTTAATATTTGACTCATTCACGAAATCATCAAGGCGAAGCTGATAAGGATTTTGGAATTCAAACTTGTTGTAGTTGGCCAATAGCCCCAGAAGGAGGAATGGGTCGAACACTTGTAGTGGGGTATCAGAATCAGAAACATACTGTTGGAAACTGTCAGTTATTTCCATACATAAAAGCAATATGACTTAATCAAACCTTCATAAGCGATGGGAAAAGATCCCTGTGTGTAAGATAAGAGACCAGGCTAGTTTTGTATGCCCCGCTAGTCATGGCAATGGCCGTGTTGATAGCTTTGAGCCGCACATCGACTGGAAAAAAAATTAGGATCAACTGCCATGATCGTGGTAAAGAGTAGGACAGACAAAGACTTACAACTACTGCCATTGCGAATTATTCTGTCCAAGACGGCCACGAAGTCAGCAATGATATGGTCCACTTCGTCGAGTCCTGCAAGAACGGTGATGACATCCGAACTTGGATTTGTGTATTTCTTGCTCAGAATACTCGTCAAGAAAACAGTCAATGTCTATGAAACAAGGTTAGACAATATGTCCCGGATATTGATCACGGGGTTCTTACATCTAGTGCATACGAATCTGACGGGGCGACTCCAGCTGCCGCTTCGCGAATGGCACGGACAAAGAAACGCCGAGTTTGAATCTAGTAATTGCATCAGGTATTTGCGTCTATTTTCTGGGATGCATTCTGCATCATGGCTTACCTGTAGACCGATTGTATCGTCTGGGCTCAAATGGTCCAGGATAGCATGCAATTGATTCCGGTCTGGAGGTAGCAAGAAGAGTTCTCTCCAGAAGCCCTCTGAGGGGTCTGCATCATCCGCTGCCTATCATGGGTATGTTAGCAATATCCCACAAAGCCATGTTTTCTGTCCGTACTTTGAAGAGATTCTCATAGAGCTGGACAATCTTTGGTGTGAAGGACTCAGGTCTACTCTGCTGGGTGAGGGGTGAGGCGTCCATGATATTAGACAGAATGATCTGCAACGATTAGATCGCCAGCATTGGAACCCAAAGAGTAAGGTTAATTTAAAGTCGAGTTGATTCAATTGCTTCGAGGTTCATGAAAAAGGGACACCAGCCACTTTGTCAGCCGATCCAGCCACATGTCCTTTACACTAATGTCTTTACATTCTGGGATTATAAAAATGAAACAATTCTCAATATATTCGTATATTAAATTCGGTGGATCTATACAGCCCATCTACATTTTTTTAACACTATTCTCCGCCACTTAGCTGCATTTGGTGTGGCATCCCTCTTGAGAGGTGAGCCAGGTTTCTCCGAGGAACGGAATTCTCCGCGGTCAGGGATGACTCAGCATCCGAAAAACGCACCTGTAAACTGGATGACAACATTGAAATCAATCAGGTCTGAGTTGTGGTTATATTTAACAAGGTAGTTAAATTGAATAGGGCAAAGAGGAATCATATGTTATCTCAGCCTTTCCTTTAACAAAAAATAAGCTAAAGAGCCTCCCGAGACCGAGGAATGGCGCCACTGCTGCAACTGCTTGTGTGTAGAAATTACTTAACGATGATTGGCTACATTTGCGTCATGCAACCACCTTACATAATCCAATCCGGTGCCACGGGGGAATCCTCAAAACAGTCAGAGATTCTTCTTTTGAACTTTACTAGTTAATCCTCCATCCCACCATCTTTCTCGCACTTTTTTTTCTATGAGGCGATAGCTATTTTCGTCGAGGCTCACTCCTATTCACACTGACTGCACCTCGACCATGAGTTTCTGTACCGCCATGCAACGTCCTGTGACATCATCCGCCACACTGCTCCGATGGGCAAAGCCCTCGGCGGCACGTCTGCGTACTTTCTCATCATATGGAAACGCTCACCTATCTTCCAAGCGGGATATGCAAACCGCAACCGCCTACCGTCCTCATTCATTCCCATCCTTCCCGCCACCCCGAAGCACCGGCGGCGCCGACACTTCTATCTCTGCTGAATTCCCTCCTTCCGACATGAAATCCCACCAGAACACATCACAAAACACATTGTCTAATGTGAGTCTACGGGAAGGCGAAGCGCAAAAATCGAAGCCGACTTCCGCTTCTCCGTCCGCCTCCAAGACTTCCTCGAAGCCTCGTCGACCACTTCGGGCAAGAAAGGCAGCCATGAAGCTGTCCCCAGTGGCCACCGAGCAGCTTCGGAAATTGATGGCACAGCCGGAGCCGAAGTTCATTCGAGTGGGTGTGAAGAACCGTGGCTGCTCCGGCCTCGCCTATCACCTGGAGTACGTGGAGAAGCCAGGAAAATTCGATGAGGTAGTCGAGCAGGATGGGGTGAAAGTCTTGATCGACAGCAAGGCCCTGTTCAGTATTATCGGCAGCGAAATGGACTGGCAAGAGGACAAGCTGAGCAGACGATTTGTTTTCCGCAACCCCAACATCAGTATGTGGCCCCTACAAAAAAAATGCAGCTTCTTAGATTCGGTTTACTGACTCATAATTACAGAGGAAGAATGTGGCTGCGGCGAATCTTTCATGGTTTAAGCACACAGCTTGAGCTTTTCTTTTGATATGTTTCTTATACGGGAACCTCTTGGCGTCTTTCTTCTTGGTGCATCGGACGGCGTTTTTAAAAGGGGGTTTTGGGATCCCACGACTACCCTTTTGTTTGAATACATACGCTTGATATCCAGTTAATACCTTTACGCACTTTCTTTCTGCATTTTCCAACTCTCTCACATCGTCACTGTGAGTTCCTGTGGGCACACAAGTTGACGGGCCTTGTCAAGAGACAGGCTAGAGGCTCAGCCAATGAACTGTTTCCTTTCTTTTCTGCAGAGAAATGATTTTGAACCCTTGCAAAATCAACCATGTGATATCTTTGTTTATAGATTAGTCCGAACTTTGGAAGGACATTGATGATGATATGTGACATACCTCAAAATTCATACATTTTTACCATAAACCTGCTTCCTCGATGCTTGATCTTACTTTTCTTCCTATCAGTCTTCGGGGTTGTAGAGAAGCGATAGTATACACTTCGTATCCTACATGTAGTATGTCACCTGACGGGATATGATATGGTCCGAGGCCCCGGAATGGGGTAAGTGCCGCATCTCCAACTTGAAACACACCATCAGTCATTGCTTGTACAGAGCAGCCTCAATCCATTCCACATAAAAACACAATATCAACTCCTACTGAACCATGGCCTCACCATTCCTCTCTCCATACGCATTAGGCGAAACAGACACCGACCCGCTCCTCATCACCGTCCGCTTCTCCGCCTCAATCCCCGATCTCCAATTAGACGTCCCAGACCCCGAGACCACAACAGGCGCAGGCCTAAAGCAACTAATCCGAGCGGAACTCCCCCAAACCCTATCATCCAACCGACTACGCCTCATCTACGCCGGCCGCGGTCTCGAAGACACAGCCGCATTAACAGTCTCACTAAAGCTCCCACCATCACCAAGCCGGAGCCCTCGCCCCGCAGCAGACCAGCCAGAGACACCAGATGAAAATGGCAAAGGCAAGCAGCCGGTGCGCGATACCCGCCCACGCCTCTACATCCACTGCTCGATCGGCGACATTGCACTCTCAAAACAAGACCTAGCCAGCGAAGCAAGCGTGGCATCCACAGTCCTTCTGCAGCAGAAGCAGCAGCAAGCCAACGCAGGCAAGAAATATCCCGCCAAGGATACTTCATCTCTACTCCCAACATCTGCGCAACCGCACCGCCACCCCCAAACCCAGCCCCAGTCCCAGTCAACTACCACTACACCCGCACCCCGCGGCTTCGACCGCCTCCTCTCGGCAGGTTTCACAGCGGCCGAGGTTACCGCTCTGCGCTCCCAGTTTCTGGCCGTGCAGTCTGTTTCTCGAACGCCGGATACTATGCCTACTGGTGATCAGCTGCGGGATCTTGAAGATCGCTGGATGGATGAGGGGTCGACGGCAGCGCAGATGCAGGGTGGTCTTGGTGGGGAGGGGGGTGGCTTTGGGGATGATGAGGGCGGGATTGGATCTGGATCGCGTGGGGCGATGGATGATATGCTTTGGGGGGCTGTTATGGGGTTCTTTTGGCCTGTTGGTTGTGCGATGTGGTTGCGCAGAGAGGAGGGAGTTTGGAGTTGGAGGAAGGGAGTTGCTGTTTGTGTGGGTGTTATTGTAAATGCTGTTTTTGGGGCGATGAGGATTATGAACTGAGGGTATTGAGATGTGTCTTTCCGATTTTTGTTATTTGGCGTTATGAGATACCCCCCAATTGAAACTATTCGGTACTTTCTGATAAAGACTTGGGATTCTTTGGGCTGTTAATCGTCATATTAGAGACCGGGATTGCTTGGACCAGAAACTTGGGTCTAGATGTATCAAGACTCGCCGGATGCTATCATACATAATTGCAAAAACACACGCAAGAGAGAGACGATAGCCTTGCTAGAGTAGACGTGAGAGCAAAAAATAAAAGGACATGAAAGATAAGGCTGAATATACAAACGCCAGCGCAAAACTCGAGTGCTAATGGAACTTGCTGAAAATAACAGCGAAAATCAAAAGAACCAGGACTGTAATGATAGCAATAGTGATCATCCGATTGGTAGCCATCCTAAACAACACACGGGAGGTCAGCAATCACATATAATATAGATCAGAACGAAACAAAGGGGAGTCAGTACCTACGGGCCATGCCCCTCAAAGTCTTGATGCTAGTATCAACGTAACCCTCACTCTGCTGCAAATTATTCCGAGCATTCGTGATCTGCTCTCTCTGCTCATACAGGGTGCCGAGCGTGCCGCGAGCAACATCCTCCGTCTCCAGCGCCATGCGCTGACTTTGCTGAAGCCGGGCTGAGCTGCGCTCTAGCCGATCAGTACCGGAAAGCAATTGCTGTCTTTGTTCGAGGTGCTCATCCTGCGGCTCGTCGGTGTACCGGTCGCCGAATAGTGCTTGCCGGTCATCCGAGAAGGACTTAAGCTTGCGCTTGATCTCATCGATGTCGGTTGAGTAGTTGCGGAAGCGGATGTTGACTTTTGACCGGGTTGCTGAGGGGATGTTCTGCTTCTCCATGCGCAGTTGGTCGAGCTAGATGGGAATTTGTTGGGTTAGTTCTCTTGTTCTTGTGGTTGTTCGTTGTTCTCGCATTGTGGCGCACAAGAACGGTATGAGGGGGCTCGGTGAACTCACCAGTTCTGTTGCTTCTTCGAGAACATGTGTTGCGTTGGCGATTGCTGATTTCCGTTGCTCGCCGCTTGCCTCGGCGATTTGGTCCAGCTTCTGGTTCAGATCGGCTTGCACCAGCTTCAACTCGTTCTCATAGCTGGCGAACATCTCCGAGCCGGCGTCTGCGTTCAGTGCGTTTGACATGGTGATTGTATGATATGTGTTCTAGCTGAGGTCGAAGTGAAGATCTGTTATCTGCAATGGTTGATGTGTTGATGTAGGCTCCACCTTTATCTGGGGCGGGTGACGCTGTTCAATAGTGCTGGGTGGCGGTTCAGTCAACGGATCTTATTAGGGTGGCTTCACTTTGCAAATGATGTAGTCTGGCTTTCCGGGGGTAGTAGGGAGCACAAAGAGAAAATACTTAAATAACACAAGGTGCTGATAGGATTAGCAAAGGCTGGGACAGGAACGGGTGACGGTGAGACACACGTGATTCATCCCGGGGTTGCATTTGCGATATGCAGATGACATCTATACACTCCAGGGCTATTTTGTATCTACAGCCATTTATCCTCTAAAGTTGAAATAAGTTGGAAATAAAATTTGATACATAGCATTAGCGTAACACCAGGCCCACACAAAACAATTCGCCTTTTCAATAAACATCCAAGATACCCCATTGGTATACAAGATCATGGAACTTTAACCTCAGAGCCATCTATTGCAGGAAATTCTTGCTATCCTGATCAACAATAATTGCACTGCGCTTGGCATCCAGGAAGAGGTCCTCGCACTCAGCAATATCACCCTCCTCAATTGCGCCGGGGTGACCATTGACGCGCGAGAGAATGCTTGCGGGAGTCAACAGCTGCAGGGCATACCGCAAGCTGACCTTGCTGCCATGTTCAGAGACCTTGTTCAAGGCAGGTTCTGTGATATTGAGGCCTTCGACCTTGGCGCGCAGCCGGATAATAGTCTTGATCTCCTCAGGGGTGTAGGGGTTGGTGGGGATGATAAGAAGGCGGGCAAGCAGATCAGGGGGAATACCGTGCGCGGCGCTGATTTCGTGAGTACCACGGATAACGGTGTGACCGCGGTTGGAGGCGAGGATGACAATCGGGGAGATGGTCGATTCGAGGGCACGGTTCAGATATGTGAAGCACTCAATGTCGAGCATGTGTACCTAAAGAAGAAACGAGGTTAGAAACGCGATCTACTAGTGCACAGGATAAACTTCTCTACATACCTCATCGATGAAGAGAACACCGGGAACCAATTCCGCGACACCCTGATCAATGTAGCGGTTAACAACCTTGTTGATTTCCTGGCGCAACTTGTCCGTGATTTCCGTCTTCTTGGGCTTCATCAGTTGTCCCATCATGCTCATCACATCTTGTCCGCCCTGGGGGCGGGCATTGGCCATATCCAGATCGTGAAGCGTCACATCCTGAACGATTTCCTTCTTCTTGTGCACCTCGCCCTTGGGGACAGGCACATACTCCTCAGCCTCGAGATCGAATTCGGTCGCATACGCATCGGATCGCCCGACTCGCTTGCATGAGCCGGTGTTGGCTTCAATGTAGATAACATCTCCGACTGTGACACGCTCCTTCTGGATGGCTTCGTAAATGCTGGGGTCCAGGCGCAGCTTCTTGGAGCCCTTAGCGGACTTCAATCCGATGATCAGATGGCTAATCGTGCGCCCGTATCCGCCCAGTGGGTTCTCAGCCTCCTCGGGGGTAAGCTCTGTCACCTCTCCCTCATAAACTTCCTTCGTTTCGCGAACACGGAGGCCTGTCATACGTTAGCTTAGATTTCCATGCTTGTTGCGCTTTTCTTGATGTCGTATTGCATACCAATAGCTCTCCGGAAGTTCTCCATCAATGCTTCGGTCTTCTTGACCTCTGCGGAATAGATTTCGCTGCCAACAATTGGGCAGAAAGGAACCTTGGTTCCCAGCTCCTGCGATACAGCAAGAGCCAGAGCAGTCTTTCCAGTACCAGGGCCACCAGCAAGCAGAACAGCTCGTCCAGCCATCTTCTTTGATTTAATCAAGTCCACCACAACACCACATGCCTGCCCCATATAAAACGTTAGTTATCGTTACTGCAAACCAGTCACCCTGGTGCATTCGGCGTTACTCTCCACTCACCTCGCGGGCAGCTCCTTGTCCTACAAATCCATCGGCATTGTTCTCTGGAGTGCCATCAGAGCGCAAGCCTAGACCCCGAATGTGCGTATGCGCAGCGGTTCTGTTCTCGCGCGAGTTGCCCTTCACTTCACTGATCTGGACCATATTTGGAAGAGATGTGGCCGAGTAGAGCCACAGGTATTGACGAAATACAAGTCAATGGGTTGAAAAGCGGGAAGTAAAAATGAATCAAAGCTTCAAAGAAATAGCTTAGATAGAGAGGAAAAGTAACGCGATGGTTCTCTCTGAGATATGCTTCTGGCCGAAATTCGCGAGCTAGGGATCGCCAAATGAGAACGCCGCCCCCAGGGCGGTGAACTGCCCCAAATTCTTCCCTGTTGGACCTCTCCTCCGCCTGTTGTCTATTAGCGACTTTCCGGCTCTTTGCATTCTCGACACTCTGCGACGGTCCGATATCTGTCGAGTACAATGGCAGGCCTACACACAAGATCTGCAATGGCCGCCCCTTTCTCTTTGGCCGCAGCCTTCCGAAGCCTTTCCATTGCCACACCAAAGCGGTCCTTCTCAACGACGCCGACAACGCAGTCGGTTCCAAAACTACCGGACACTGCCCCAGTTTACCCCTACGGACCGTCCCAATGGTACAAGCAGGCTGACTCCGGTCTGTACGGAGGTGCTTCCATCCGATTCGGTAACAAGATCTCCAAGGGACGCAACGCAGGCAAGACACGACGAAGCTGGAAGCCCAATGTGCGCCGAAAGAAGATTGAGAGCGAGGCTCTGGGCGAGTCGGTGTTTATCAAGGTCACTCGTCGCGCGTTGCGATCAATTTACAAGGCCAAGGGCCTAGACAACTATTTGCTGTCTGATCGGCCAACACGCCTCAAGGAACTCGGTCCTTTCGGATGGAACCTTCGACACCAGATTATGCAGACACCAAAGATCAAGGAGAAATTTGACCAGCAGCGCAAGGCTCATGGTATTCCTGAGCCCCCGTCATTGAGCAAATGGATGAGGGACCACAGGCTGGAAATCAGGAACAAAATCGACAACCTGGACATTGACGCAATGACCAAGCCTCGCAAAACTGCGCGGAGCGCCCAGTCACATGCTCAGTAGAGCAACTTGGACGACCTTTCGTGCCAAGGGGAATGGACAGGCGCTTGTATCACTATCCTGAAGAGCGATGGACGGTTTTTTGGGCACCATGGAATTTGTGCCATTATCTTTGTACGCTATTTCGTTTCTCGTGGCGGAAATGATGTCCACAGCTTTCTAATTTGGGTGCGGTCTCTTTTTTCAATTTGCATCTTGGGTCTTCTGTGTACTTATACTCCAATCTTACTTTGTGTTCCTTATCAAGTTCATCTAACTCCATTTTTGTGCCAAGTCTATAACATGCATAAAGAGAATATAGCACTCCACTGAAATCAAAATTCCGCCGACCCAAAGAGGAGTGGAAACATGAGCGTCTCGTCGTCAATCCCATATGCACTACCAATTCCGTTCTCAAGTGAGGAAAAGGCCTGGGTATCCCTGTTACTCGACCCAGGATGCGTTGGTTCACGGAAAAACGGACACACTTCGGAGCACATGTGATTACTCAAACTGCCAAGCATAGTTTGGTCATGCGATGCCGACTGTTGGTGGAATTCCTCACTTAGACTCCTAGGAAAATCTTCCGTAGTCATCTCGCGTATCATGCGCAAAACACCCCGATGCATGATGATCGACGTGAGTAAAGGCATCAGGGATTGGATGTAGGAAGCAGACTCCGTCAAGATGCGCCTCGGTGGCGGGTCTTCCTCCGCCGTTCCATAGAGCGGGATTTCTTTAGCTAGAACATCGAAGACATCACGCAAAGGCTCAGCTTGAACCCATCGCTCAGCG